GAAAGGAACATGGGGTTGAGCGAAAATTTCCTAAAATCATTCTATTAGCTTGATTCTCTATTTTGTCAATGATATTTTTGACATGATTACGATTCCTTTCGAAAGCCCAGATCATGCTTCCGTACAGGATTCGTGATCTGAGAACACTGATGATTAGATTTCTGGATTGTTGTAGACCAATGCCATAGGAACATCTGGATATTCTGATCAGTTGAGCCACTGTTTGGTCTCCACATTTCTTTACTTTTTTTAGATGTTCGCTAAATAAGAGTTTGGAATCAAAAATTATGCCTAGATACTTATTGTTAGGTGCCGGAGGAAGGGAGAATTCCCCAAATTTCAACGGGGATGGTTGGATATGTCGATGAGTGAAAATCATAAACTTCGCTTTCTTCTTATCAAAGATAGCATTATGGGAGGAGCCCCATTGTAGTGATCTTTCACCTTCATGCTCCAGTCGTTGTGCCGCGGTTCCAAAGTCTTTGTTTGCTACTAGATGTGTAACATCGTCGATGAAACCTAAAGAAATAGAATCTTGACTTAAGTCGAGAGGGTTGTTAATTAGTAGAGATGAGTTATATATGATATAAAGAATTGGGGAAAGGGGTGACCCCTGTGGTAAGCCGCATTTTAGATCAAATGGAGATGATGTGAAGTCATCCATTTTTATTGAGGTGGTTCGATCGGAGAGTATGCTGTTAATGATAGCTGATAAGTAAGCGGGGGCATTCTTCTTTATCAGTGTGTCGATCATTCTCTCTTTAACCACTGTTGGAAATGCTGATTTGACGTCGAGAAAGAGGGCTGTGACTATTTTTTTTTCCCTCCATTTGTGTTTAATCCAGGAAGTTAGGAATAAGTTAGCGTCATCAGTGCTTCTATTGGCTCTTCCTCCAAAATGACCGTCTGCTAAAATGTTATTGTTCTCCGCCCAAAAGGTAAGTCTGTTAGTTATCAACTTTTCAAAGATTTTGCCAAGACAGGACAGTAGAGCTATTGGTCTGTATGATCCGGGGGCGGAATATGATTCCTTTTCCGCCTTGCGGATTATTGCTGTTGTCGCGTGCCTCCATGACTTTGGGAAGTAACCTGTAGTTAAGCATGCGGAAAATAATTTGATCAGGTGTTTAGCAATTTCATCAGTACTCCATTTTATCATCTCATTTGCTACTTCGTCGTGACCGCGGGCTTTTTTGTTGGGGAGGTTTGAAATGATTGTTTTTATCTCAAGCGATGAGATGTTAGGGAAAGTTAGAGGGAAATAAAAAGATGGGGTTGAGACGTTATTCAGGGAAATATTAATTGGGGCATCGGACGTTCCTTTGAAGAGGAGATTAGCCTGTTCTTGTTTGTTAGAGGTCAGTGTGTTATTCTCATCAAGGAGGGGGGCAACACTCCCGTGATTGGTGGGCTTAGTATATTTATAAGCTTTGAATACTTGATGGTCTTTGCATTCAGCCAAGAACCTTCTCCAATGGTTCTTTTTCAGTTCGTATACTTTATCCCGAAAAACACGCTGCCAGTGTTGGTAGCAATTGCACGAGTTTGTTGATTTTGACAATAGCATCCATCTTTGAGCTCTGTTCCTTTTATCCGCCAGTGGGTCTAGGATCTTTTTATCCCACCACGGTTTTGCTTTTGTATTGTTGTTTTTTACCTCTTTTTTCTGATTATTTAAAGCAAATTGGAATGAAGATGTTAGTTCTTTTACAAAGTTATCAATTTCGGACTGGTTTGTCAGTAGGTTGTTATCGAGGTTGTTGAGAGAGAAGGCTAAATCCTTGTTAAATTTTTCTGTGTCGATGTTCTCCAAGTTATAGGATGGTCTTTTGTCGGTGTGAGGTTGGGGTGAGAAGTTGAGCTCGAGATGGATCGCTTGGTGGTCTGATCCGTGATTGATGTGTGAAGTCGAGCATTTTTGGATAAGTTTTTGGGCTGAGAAATTGCACCAGGTGAGATCGATGGTTGTTGAGCTGCTTCGTTTAGTCGAAAAAGTAGGGACTCCTTTTTCTGAAATTATCTTGAAGCCTCTTCTACCACAAGTCCTGATTAGTTCTTTTGCTTCATTATGAGAATGATAGTAGTTAGCGGGATTCCACAGTTTGTGGTGCAGGTTAGAATCCATGAAAATAAAAGAGGGGATGTTTCGATCATTAAATTTGGTTAGCCAGTTGTCAATTTCGGAAAGAGCGTCAAAGTTCTTGGGGGGATTGTATACGTTAATCAGCCTGATTTTGTCAACATTATTGGATTTTATATCGATCTCTAAAGCGGAAAGAAGTCGGGAACCTCCATCAAGGGGGTGGATTCTCTCTGTGGGATATTTTTTATTTATCATAAAACAAGTACGATGCTTATTATGATAGTCTTTGGGAGCGTGGTTATCATCAAGTATTGGATACCAACTGTTATGGGTTGGTAGTTTCATGGTATGGGGATTAATCCAAGGTTCTTGGAGGATTAAAATTGCTGCATCTTTTTCTGAATTTAGAAGACTATGTGTGACTTCAAACGCGTTATGACAGTTAAGTTGGATAACTTTAAAGGAAGGTGATGAAGGAACTTGTGAGTATGATAAATTTGATTGGTCCAGTGTAAGATAAGAATTGTGGTTTTTTTTATTTGAGGGGGTTTCGTTGTAACTAATCATTGAGAAATGATGTTAGGGCGAAAGTTCTTTGTTTTTAGCGGACATTTTAAGCTCATTGGGGAATGAAGGAAACGAGGGTTATTTTCATCTATTTCACTCTCCGGGTTGGATTCTTTTTCATTTTGAGTGCATTTAATGCACGATTCAATAGGGACATCTGTGTTACAGTCACGGGAGTTATGTGCGTCCCCGCAGAATTTGCATAAAGGAGTATTTTTACACACTTGCGCTGTGTGACCAATTTCAAGGCATTGGAAGCATTGCATAGGGGATTTTTTGTAATGAGCGCCTTTAAAAAATAAGCCTTTAAAAAACAGGCCGCCTTTTTCTATTTTTTTTGCTATTTCTTTGTCAAGAAGGTTCATGATTATTGAACCATGGGCTTTTTTGTTCTCTTGGGGATTCCCCAACCAACGCATACTCTGGATGGATTGGGGAGTCATCCCATTGTTCTCTCTGCATAGGTCCGCAATAGTGGCCTTGTTGGAGGGAGTAAAAGAAATCGGGACAGTATGGATAATAACTGGGAAGGAGGTTTGGGGAGTGATTAATGCGGGATCGCATAGATGGGTCCACTCATGCTTATGTTTGAGTAACCAGTTAGTGGCAAATCTCGTAGGTGTGAAAAACTTAACGTCTCCCGAAGGGAGAGTGATTGCACCTTTGATGACAATCGGAGTGCCATCTTCGGTTTTGGCTTCCATCTCGGAGAGAACTGAGTTCACTTTCTCAATTATTTGCGCGGGACTTTTTTGGGCAAAGGCCTGGGCTTCTGGGACTGTCTTTCGGATAATGAAAAATGAAGGTTTGAATTCATTGATTATACGAGCACTTGGGGGAGAGCGGACTATATTGTTGATGGGCTGAGGATTTGTTTTCTTAACAATAGAAGACCAGGTGGAAGGGGAAGGTTTGGGAGGGAGGACAGATTTTGACATGGTTTTTTCAATCACATCTAATCTAGATGTGATTCTATCCATCATGTTAAGGGTTTTAACGTTGATAAACTCTTCTACTCCAATCAATGATTTTAGGAGTTGGACTTTGTCCGGAGTAATGATGACACTGCCATCGGCTTCTGGGTTCATGATGAGTTTAGAAATGATTTTCAAAACTCCTTGGTTGTCTGGGTTGTGACGGGATTGGTTTAATGGCGGGTTGTTAGAGGTAGAGGGGGTGATAGAGTTGTCATGATTATGATTATTCATATCGGATGACGACATCTCTATTTCGCGATTGTGAAGATGATTATCAACTTCCGAAGACATATTGGCCGTACCAGGAGGCATAGCTTTAGCTATCCGGGCCTGATAAGGTTGAAACCTTTTGTGAGGGGATTTATCAGGAAACTCAATGATTACAGAGTTGGAAGAGGAAGATGGGGGTGAAGATGGGAGATGGGAAGGGGATAAGGTGGGAGAGCGGAGGTCTTTAGGTGAGATAAGGTTAGAAAATACTTATTTGGAGATGATTGAGAAGTTCGGAGAGTTGATTTGGATGAGGTGAAAAGTGGTCGATTTTTTGTGGTTGAAGTTGAGTTCCGGTGGTGAGCGCAGTTTGCAGGTCGGACGGCGGTGGTTGCACAAGAAGAATCAGTTTTCCACTCAAAGTCATTTTGAGCCTAACTAGGCCTCCACGGCGGGAGCGGTAGCGAGCAGCGGAGCTGTCCACGCCAGTGGAGGCCTAAGACAAATGTGACAATCCCCGCGTGCTGAGTTTTCAAAATTCAACTGAAAACTCACTTTTTTGTGTGTTTTCCACTCTAAGCACTCCTTTAATCATACTCATCTAATTTCCTCCTGGGACAGGGGAGGCCTGTGTCTTGCCCATATTTCCCTGTGTTCAGTTTTTTGGTAATGCTTGTTAATTATTTATAAAAAGTTTTTGAAAAGGTTGACTTTTCAACTCAACTTGGCTTCTTTTGGTGGGCCCAAGTTGAGCAAACCCCGCATTTGAGCTCAAAAAAAGTTCAAATCATAATTTAAGAAATTTATTATTAATTACAGTTGCAAGGTGCAACTTCTAAGTTTTGGCCTGATCAACAAGATCAGGCAGGTCTTGAAAAATTCCAGACCAAACATCAAGAAAGTTTTGAGGGAGCGTCAGGATTTCAAATCTTGTGACGCTCCCACCAAAACAACTCAAACTTAGCACCTGAGTTTGTCGACCTCTGGCCCAAGTCTCCCCTGCGGGGAGTTCCCTTCGGGAACCGCCTGGCCAGCGCTACGCTGCCAGATGCGCCCGCCGCAGCGGGAGACTTGCGATAAGTTCGAAGTCATTTGACTTGCTACGCCGGCTCTCCGCGCGCGTCGCAGCCGCCTTCAAACGATCAGATTTCGGGCAACTTCAAAAACTGCTGAACAGCAAGACATCGAGGATAGGTAGACAAAATGCGTTGAACTCTGACCTGTCTCACTGTTTTCTGCTAGTTTTGACATCTTCGTCATGCTTGGTCTGCTTACCTCAGGTCGAAACATATTGAGATAAATCGAATCTATATCGTAGGTTTTTGAATTGGTGTGTGTTTGAGCGGTTCGATTTATCTGAACTGAAGGTTTCCATCTGTGTTTCCTCTTTATCCAGAATTTACATTCGAATCGAGAAAGGGTTTTTTAGTGCCTTGGCAGTGAAATAATGATGAGAATGTTTTCGGTCTTTTCCAGGGGTACCCTTCAAACCTGCGCGCCAACGAGCCTACTTTCAACTATCTCCAAACCACCATCGCCCAATGTACTCAGAAGTCGAGGTCAACGCTATCTTTCACAGCGCCGTCCCAAACCTTCGACGTTCAAGAACAAATCCTCGAAGGGAGTCGCAATCGACCCAGTACTCGAGGATGATTCGCAAAATTTGACAAAACTATCATTTGAGGCGCCCGCCAAGTTAAGAAGGCAGGCCTTGGAGATGTACGCCCAATGCAAGCTGAGCGAAAGAGATCCTACCACCCGGTTTGCGATCGTTCGTCAGATGAGGAACCTGGATCTACCGCCCCACCAGGAGCTATGGCAAGGGATCAATGCGACGGACGAGCTGGCGTTGTACCGATGGGTGGACGAGGCGTTCGGCCAACTGATATACCAGAAGGGTCTTTGGCGACCGAGCAAAGATTGGGGCCCTGAGGACGACGAGGCAGAAGCTATTCAACGGGTCGAGAACCTCAGCTTACTACGGACCGCCTACGAGGAGCAGATCTTGAATCCATTGAAGGAGCGCTTCGGGACCTCGGAGGTGACCATCGCCCTTTCGGAGCTCAGGGATGATCAGAAACTTTACAAGGAACCCGCCATCATCTGGCAGTCTGTCAACCGGAAGACCAACGAGATCTCGCTGGAATGGATGAGCGAATATACCGCCGATGTGGTCTGGCCTGGACTCGTGAGCTGTCAACCTAGTTACCAGGTAGCACGTAGATACTGGGAAGCCGAAGCTAGACACTTCTCCAACTTGATCGGTGGCGTCGCTCGTGGAATGGGCGAAAACGGAGAAATGTTGCCCTGTAATTCCCAGGATAATGATGACCTGGGTCAAACTGATTCCTCACTAGATGAGAATATCCATGAATTTCAATCCCCTATCCTTTCTTCAGCTCAAGCAAACAAGCAGGCTGCCGAAGCCGTACTCATCAAGAAATTCCTCGAAGAAAGAAACATGTCTTCGAAAACAACTGTGAAACGATAATCAAACCCGTTGAAGTTCTAAATAGAGTTCATTTTGACAACAATGGGCACACAATATGTAACTTACCTGGTCTTGATACTCTAGTTTGATTCCTTTCCAATTGCTCCATGTAATTATCACAATTCTACTTACCTGTTGAAACTAATCCATCAATTGGTCTAACACATTATTAGAGTCTCATTGGATCTCTTTCCTATATTTATAATTCTCAGTTGTTCAGGAAACCGGATGTAGGAGGACCATGGCTCGGTCTATTTTTGGAGACAATCGCTCAAACAATGGCTGCTGCAGTCTTCATTGCAACTTCTAGCAAGGCTCTTCATCTGATATCATGAGTTATACCTGTAATATATGTTTACACAGTGTAGAGGATAATTGATATTGTGCTTCTACAATAAACTGGAAACTCATGCTTATCAAAGTGAAACATGTTGAATCAAGAATGGAAAAGATGAAAACCAGAAGGAAAAAAAGAAAAGAACAACATTTTTGTTCCTCTTTTGTTTATGATAAGCACCCCGTTGTAGTGGGGAATGAAAATTTGTTTTTCATATTCTGGCTAACAATCTATTCAAATGTCATTTGATACTACATTGCTGAAGCTGGATATTTTGTTCCCTTAGGCTTGAGCTAGAGAAAAGGTTAATTGGATAGCAGTATTTGAACCCAAAAAAGAATAGAAATGTCAAAAATTCACTCAAAATGATCAAGTTGATAGTCAAAAAGAGCTGGAGAAAAATGGTCATTTCCAAAAAAGAATTTGAAGATAGCCTTAAATCCAGCAAGTTGCTGTGCCATATTGTGGACTGTTTGCTCTATGCCAGTCTGTTCAGATAGCCAAGCACAAGAAGATCCCCATGTTTTATTGAATTGATAAAAAAGGGCTTTCAATTCTTCATACATCTCTACTGTTCTTTTCAACAATCTTTCAGATATTTCTTTGCTTTCATTGGAGTCATTTTTGAAGAATCTTGGGTTTTCCTCAATCATATTTGAGAATTTTTTTGCCATATTTAATCTTGACTGTAATGTAATCATTGTGACTTGTTCTTCAAATATTTTTTTCAGCAAGATTTGAGTTAGTTGAACATTGTTTCATGATCCCTGGAAAGAATTGTTGGTCAATCAAATGCAACAATTCACAACTGAGGTTGATTGCATCATCTTTATAAAGCTTAAGTCTTGTGTTCTGATAGGAAAGAAATGTTGAGTATCTTCTCCTGTTGCTCATTCAGTAGTTTTTGTAATGGAAACAAAAATCAGTATCACAGTTGAACCCAAATGGATGATTGGAAGAGTTAGACCCATCATGTGTTTCAACATTTGTGGCAGAAACTTACTTGAATTTGAGAAACAATTGAATGATGGCCAGTAGAAGTGTTTGGTGATTAGAGTTGGCAATTTTATTGTTTAAATATCTAATTCTAGATTAAAAAAGCACATTGTGTATTCATCAATTGATCCCAAAATTCTCTCATATTGAAAAATGCTTGTGAATTCTTGTTGACTTATGATTTTATTCTGATGCAAGAAACCACCTGTTTTGAACAGAGATTTATAGGGTCACAATTTGTTATCTTTATTTTCAGAGTGTGAGATTTCCTCAGATTTACAAGCTTCCAAGGCAAAGATTGAATCTATTTTGGAAAACTGGAAATTGATAAGAAGTATCTTGATATCTTGAAGACATGAATTAGCCAATTCTTGGATATTTTGATTGAAGTTTTCTCCAAGTAAAAGTGAAGATTTTTTGTATTGAGTGCTTTTGAGTGTTATGGAAGTTGAAAGTTGAACTTGTTCAAGATTTGGATCAGATTGAGTTTTTCCAATACCTTGACTTGTATTGACATAGAAATTTTGCTTGGCAGCCTGTTGAGTATTTGAATTTCATCTGAGAGACTACACATCCATTTTGTGCCCAATCTGATCTGTGAGAAAACCGATGAGGATTTTGGTTTTTTTTGTCTCTAGCATCCAAAATGCCCCAAAATGGGCCTTTTTTGGAGGCCATTCAGCCTTGTGAAGGGGCCAAAGTGCCCAAATATGGTCCAAGGGGGGGTCCCCTGCTACACTGATGGGTCCCAATGGCCTCCACAGGTGAAAGTGGACCCCTTGAACCCTGTCATTCATTCATCTGGGAGGGGCTTGGTCTTCCCCTGGCCCCAACTGAAGCTGGGCTATAAATCCCTATGAGATGAGAACCAGAGGGGTTTCCTAGCATCCTCCCACACATGAAAAATGCTTTAACTAACTATTTTAATTTGGCCTTGCCTACAATACAGATCAGACTGGTTGACCCCATGCAATGATGGGAGGTTACTTTCTCTGCAACAAAAAGTACTGGTAATCTAATGATATTTTGTTGTTATTGTTACCATTACTAGTGACAGAATTTGGAGGTGTTACTTTCTATGTTTTCTTTGTATACTCTTCCCTTGTTGTGTTATCCACAATGAAAAAAGGTGGATAAAATTGGAGGAGCTGAGATTTTGAAGGAGATTTTCTAGAATTTTGGCACTTTTGGACCCTAGTCAATACAGATAATGTGATAACAAGTTACCTTCTGTAACTTTTTGGGAACTAAAACCCCCAAGTTCTGTTACTTTCATGGAGTTTTTCTTTCTTTACTAGATAACACCAATGGTATCATCTGTTAGGCTGGAAATTTATGTTACAAAAATCCCTTTGGCTATCTTAACATATGTAACTTCACAGTGTTGATTCAGCTTGGCAATTGCATCACACCTTTGATTGCTTTAGATATAACAAATACTATTATCTATGTGTCCATTTTTTCAGATGCCTTGGTTAATTCTCCTAGCATCATTGACAACAACATTAATTCAATCAAATAGAATGAAAAACAGATTAACTCAAGTGAACTACAAGCAATGTGTTGGCTGAGATAAATCTGGCCATACCCTGTTCAGTACTGGTCAAGTAGCAATTGTATTCTTGAAAGTTTTGAATTAGAGTTGGATTGTTCCCAATATATATAGCAATTCATTATGCCCCTCTTACATGCCCTCATAGGTCAAACGGGTAATTGATCCACACTCACAGCCATACATTGGCTTCAAGATTTTCACAAGCTCTCCAGTTCAATCCCTGCTCTAGGCATAAAACCTCCAATCACTTGCATCACTCTAGTCACCATGCACATGATACCTCTGACTCTTGTCAGCCTGTCCATGGTACTCACTACCCTTCCTCCTGCAAACTTAGACAGACAAATATTGCATGACTCAACCAGCTGTAGAGGGGACCTGCATTTGACCCATGTATATGATAAGTGTGGATGTGTCCCTCAAGGACGTGCTGTCCTCATGCATGACTTGGAGGTTAATTGTGATTTGTGCTATGCAAGTAGGAGTGAAAGAGTAACACTCTGTCCACATTGCAATACCCCACCAGCAGATTATACATGGCACAGGGGAAACTGTACTCCATCACTCAATGATCGTGATCAGATTAAAACAAGTGCAATTGAAGAAAATCTCACATGTGCACGATGTAATGGGCACTTCCAGGGATATTGTCATGTGATGAAATGCTTAGACTGTCAAGGTATCAACCCAAGGATATATTTCAGGGATCGGTGGTGTGAAAGTTGTCAGAATGCAGTCAGGCAGGAATTACGTAGAGGAATAGAATAAGATCACAACAAGAGGCAAGAAGAACAAAAATGTTCAATTCAGAAATTTAGCTCTCAACCTGGAAACTCAAGATGGTACCAACACATACATGTAATTAATTCAGTCTCACTTGTAGATACCAAAAAAAAAGAGTAAACTACCAAAAAAAAAATTGAAAAAAGGAAGAAAATTCGTAAAAAAAGTTACAACCAAAAAATGAGCAGCAATACATAAAAAGATCAAAAAAAGAGAAGAGGTGGGGGAATGATTTTTTGAGGACAAACTGATAGACAGAGAAATATTACTGGCCTTAAGCAGTGTTCATGCATGGATCTGATTGAATTACAGCAAGCCAAGTGTGTCTATATATGTAAACAAAGCTCTTGTGGCAAGTAAACTTAAGGAAGGACTTTGTACAACTGATCTTTTAATATATGTTTAAATGTTTTCTACAAGTATTAAAAGCTGAATTTGAATCACTTGGATGTTTTGTATTTTTTTTCTTTTTTGGAGGTGACTGCATTTTGAATGAGAGTAGAGGCTATAATAGTGTTCTCATACATAGATTGTTGCAGCAATCTGCAGATGATGTGGCTATGTGTATATATGGATATGCTTGGATGGAGTGATTGGATATGCAGCTTGGATGGATCAGTGATCCACCCACAAGTTGGTCAGCTTGAGCCGATTTCAGATCGATCGATCTTTCACCGGTCTCTCTCTCTCTCTTCTTTTTCAGCCTGCATACATACATCCAATTAACCGTTTCATCTGAAAATCAATACGATCCAAATCGATTTCGATTTCAGGAGGATCATGGTTCTGACTCGATCGTCCTACTCCAGACTGGGCACCCCACTGGCCTCGCCACTCAGCAACCCAAACAAACCACTCAGCAACAGCCAGCAGCAGCAGCAGCAGCACTCCCAGCGGAAGAAGAAGAGGAACAGTATCCAGTCAACAGCATCCTCAGCAGAAACACCACTCACCCCAAACCAACTCAAGTTCGGATTCGAGCTCATCGACAGACTCACAGCACAACAATCAGTCAGTAAACTCATCATCAAAAAAAAAAAAAAAAAAAAAAAAAACAGTAGACTGACTTCTTGACCATCACTGCAGGATACCCCACCACCAAACCCAGAACTGGACTCAAGCCAACTCTACCAAACACCAGCACCACCCAACCACCACCATCATCATCCTGGGGATCTATCTCACACAGACTCAGAGCTCCCAGCCACCCAACCATGCTCGATCATCGACATCGATCTCTCCACACTAGACAGCCCTCCTCAACACAACCCAGACCATCCTAATCACCACCAACTCACATTCTCATCATCCACCCTCCTCAACCTCTCTCAATCATCTTCCACCTTAGAACCCAACAACTCTTTCCAGCTCCTCCAGTCCTCGCTCCCGCTCTCACCGATCATCGAACCCACCCCTGATCCGCTATCGCTATCTCAGCCTTCAGTGGAAGAACTCTCTCCACTCGATCAAAATACATCCAATACTCTTCCTCTGGCCAATATGCTCCATCAACCACCTCCTCCTCAGTCACAAAATGATAACCATCAAGCTGAAAAAGCACATCAAATCAAAACGATCCCGAACATCGAGATCAATTCTGCTGCTAATCCGATCGAGATTGACGATTTAATCGAGATTCCTAAACCAAATGAGACCCCAGAAGATCAAATACCAACACCCAAAACAACACAGTCTACTACGAATCTTGAGATCATGGAGAAGAATGAACACGAGAAATCAACAGACCAGAGTAACCTGACGAGAGAAGAACCAAGCTACAAAGACCAAAAGACGACAGATGATAGCCATGAGATTTGCTCGATACCAGAACAAAAGTCGGCTAATGATGTCGAAGAGAAGCCCAATGAAGAGCAGGTCGAGACCCAGAATTCTCCTCCTGATCCGCCGACAGATCCTGCGAGCCTCCCCACCCTCGAGCTCACCCAACAGGACCCTTCTTCTGGTCTCGACCTTCATGCTGGCGGTGACTCTGGTCAATCTATCCCCCACACAATCGAAACCGATCACCTACTTCATCTCGATATTCCCTCTTCTGCTGCTTCTTCGAATTTGAACCCAGATCCAATTTCACAAGATTCATCCGACCCAAAAGACTCATCCAATCCCAAAGATTCATCTAATTCAAAAGACTCATCCACTCCAAAAGATTCATCTAATCCGAAAGATTCATCAGATTCAGAAGACGAAGTGGACACTCACGAAAATCACGAATCAAATTCAGAATCAAGTCCAGACACTTCAGAAACATCTGAAGACGAAGACGAAGAAGATTCCAAAGTGCTAGAACTACTAAAAAGAGCGAAAGAGAAAGCCCGGCTGCTTGATTCCAAGGCGACCCCAACACCAACAACGACTGGAGTTTCGCTGACATCGACCAGCCAAGAAGAAGGGGGCAGCGATTGCGGAAGCTCAGTGACCTTACAAAACATGATCCGATTAGAGGAAGAAGAAGAAGAGGCCGGAGCAGCCGGGCACTTGAAAGCCGCAGGCCTCCATCGTCCTTTACGCTCCGCCACCCTCCCTCGTCCTTCTTCTTCTTCGTCTTTTTCTCTGAAACCGTCGAAGAAGGAGAATCGGACGGTGCCGCTCCCGGACAATCTCGAGCGGGTCCAGAAGCTCAAAGAGCACTCTCTCGGCATGTCTTCTTCTTTGGGTAATAAAAAGGATGGGCTAGCAAAGCTTCAGTGGCATGACTTACCCACCCAACCTCTGACTAGAGAAACTAAACTCGAAATCCAAGCTATGAGGTCTGTTTCTCCCCCTTTCCCTTTCTTTTAATCTTTCTTGTAAGCTTATATATCTTTTTTTTTTGGTTTTGGATGGGGGTAAAATAGGTTACATCGCACTTTGGATCCCAAGAAGTTTATCAAAGGAGGGATTGAGAAGGCGCTCAAAGAGCCTATCCCTGAGAAGTTCTTGTTTGGCCATCTCGTTGAGGGCTCTTCTTCTTCTGTCACTCCTACTCACCATTCTTCTTCGACTAAGAAACGTAGCTTGTATGTTTTTTTTTCCTTATATCAAAAATCCATTATTGAGTACTCATGATTGATTTGGTTTGTTTTTTTTTTTTGGGGGGTGATGATAGTGTTGATAGTTTGGTGAGTGATCAGCACGGGTTGGGGTGGATCAAAAACCAGTACGAAGGGCTCCAAAAATCTAAGTTTAGTAATAACAACTTTAATCGGTCTAAAAAATTTAAACGATAGATCATTTCTCAATGTGGTCTGTTTACACATATCACTTAATTGTATTTACCAAAAAAAATGTGAAGAGTTACCCTTTTTACATCACCTTCACAGAACAAAAAAAAACTATTTACATTTACATTTATGATTTGCTTCTTTCTTCTTATTCCCCCTCAAAATCCAAAACAAAAAAAACGAAAAGAAATTGTAGACCTTCCTATCAGATATATCTCACTTGATGTCTTTCAGTAATGATCCTTTTATGAGCTCTGTGTCTCGTTTCTTAGTGAGAGAAGAAATATGTTATTTCTCAAGAATGTTAGGTCATAATAATTAATAAGTTCATGATTCATACTTTGTTTTTTTGTGGTGAGATGTGATGAGATAGGAATAGAATAGAATGGAATGATAAGGATACTTTCTAGTTGATACTACCACGTGCGACTTGCAGTGGTATATTGAGTTGGGAGTGGTGGATGATGAATATTCTGGAATGGTCAAGAGATCATAAAGGATCTCTCGGAGCAACCACCACCAACCACCACCCAACTATCAGACCACATAATCATATTCATACGAAAACAAGAACCACAGACCAGAGAAGCAAAGCAGAAAATGACTGAAAGCAACATCAACAACAACTTACTGAGCAGTCCACATCCACTTCGACCCTTCGATCTCTTCACCCCTTCCCCATCCAGACCCGCCTCAGCAGCCGCAACCCGACTCCCAAACACAAGAGCCCATCCGTCTTCTACGACAGCCAGGACTATCGCAAACTCAACAACAACCTCAACAAAGACTAATGGGGGCGGGTCTTCTTCTCAGACGATGCCTACCTTGGACGCCAATTCGTCCCGGCTGATCGTTGTTTCCAATCGGCTTCCGATCACCATCTCCAGCCATCCATCCTCTGCCCCTCCCACCAAAGACATCCCTCAACAATCTAGTACAGAGGCAGGGAAGCATCATCACAAAGCTGGGGAAGCAGAGGAGAAGAACTCGTACTCTTTCAAGCTTAGTTCCGGCGGCTTGGTCTCCGCTTTGAGCGGCTGCAAGAAACAGATGACGTTCAGCTGGATCGGGTGGACCGGGCTCGACGTCCCTGAGCCCGACAAACCCGGCATCGAGGACCAGTTGTGTCAGCTCTATTCTTGCAAAGCTGTTTGGTTATCTGACGAACTAGCCGATAAACATTAGTTAAGCTTCTCTTCCTGCCTTCCTCTTTCCCATTCACAAAAAGGAAAAAAAAAAAAGAAAAAGAAAACTGATTTGGATTGTTTTGGATTGTAAAAACAGTAATGGGTTTTCGAATTCGATCTTATGGCCTTTATTTCATTACCATCCGGGCGAGATGAACTTCGTGGAGTCGCATTGGGAGGCGTACAAGGAAGCTAACATGAAATTCGCCCGGGTCGTTCATAAGGACATTCTCGAAGCCATCGAGCGGGGCGAAGATGTGTTGGTTTGGGTGCAGGATTATCATCTCAGTTTAGTCCCCCCCCCTTCTGTTTCTCTTTTCTTTTGTTTCATTTCACTGATTGTTTTGTCTAGTGTTGTTGCCTATGATGTTGAGAGAATTACTGGCGTCATCTGAGGATAATGGACTCACAAATAAGAATGGTTCGACTACTGATAAGAAGAAAGGAAAAGTATCGATCGGCTTCTTCTTGCATACCCCGTTTCCATCGTCGGAGATATACCGGTAAGTACTAACGCAGAAAGAAAGAAGCACTTGCAGATCTGAAAAAAAAGAAGAAGAAAGAATCAGAAGCTGAATGTGATGATCGGCAGGATCCTACCGGTTCGACGAGAGATCCTCCTAGGGATCTTACACTGCGACTTAGTCGGCTTCCACACGTACGACTACGGCCGGCACTTCCTGTCCTCATGCACCCGGATCCTGGGTCTGCCCGCTATGCCTAATGGGCTGGCGTTCGGCGGCCGGTACGTGCATGTGGGGAGCTTCCCGATCGGCATCGAGCCCACCAAGTTCCAGGAAGCCTTGCTGTCTCCGGCCGTCCAGAAACGCATCCTCACCCTCGAACAAAGGTTCCATGGTATTAAGGTCATCGTCGGCGTCGATCGTCTCGAGTTCGTCTCTCTTTCTTTTTTTTCTTACTTTGAAAAAGACTCTTGTTGAATTCTTTCTCTACATCCGTTCGTTCGGTGGCTTAGTTATATCAAGGGCGTCCCTCAGAAACTTCATGCTCTTGATGTTTTCTTATCTGAACATCCTGAATGGATCGGAAAAGTAGTCTTAGTTCAAGTAGCTGTCCGTAAGTAATCTATGTTTTCCCTTATCAAAGACCTCTGAGATTTCACAAGAAAAACATAGTCTGTCTTCGATCACTGATTCATTTTTTCACAAAAAAACAATTGGCGAAAAAAAAAGCTTCAAGACAGGATGTAGAAGAGTACCAAAATCTACGGAGTAATGTGAATGAGTTGGTGGGACGGATTAACGGTCGCTTCGGAACGGTGGAATACATGCCGATCCATTTCTTGCATCAGAGTGTCAGCTTTGATGAGTTATGTGCCTTGTATGCGATCAGCGATGCATGTTTAGTGACCAGTCCACGAGACGGAATGAATCTGGTAAAGTCGCCACATTCACATCCCTCCCCCCTCACATGACCCAAATTTGCAGGACGGCGATTTAGTATTGAAAATGGAGGACTAATAATGTCTTGATCGATATGGTATGTTGTATGTACGTAGGTTAGTTATGAGTATGTGGCATGTCAAGAGAAGCGCCATGGGTGCATGATCTTGTCCGAGTTCACCGGCGCTGCTCATTCCCTAAACGGCTCGATCATCGTCAATCCTTGGGCGACCGATCAGGTCGCCGACGGGATCTTTAGAGCTATGATCATGGACGACGAGCAACGTAAGGAAAACTTCAAGAAACTGTTTAGTTATGTTTCCAAATTCACTGCTGCTCAGTTGAGTTCTTTCCTTCCCCTCCTCCTCCGCCCCCTTCCTGTTCCTCTTCTTTTTTCTCTCTCATTCATCTCCACTTACACTCAATTATCACTCTTTTCTTTTTGGGGTTTAGTTGGGGATTAACCTTCGTCGCTGAAATGCAACGGATCTTGAAGGAAAACGAGCTTATCGAACGCGAACAACAACAACAAGAAGAAGAAGAAAAACAACAACAACAACAACAACTTCATCAGAAGAATCTCGACTTCGATCATCGTGGATTCGAGGGGCTTCGAATTCGTGAAACTGTTGAAGAAGAATCTTGATTCAAGCCGATTCTTCTCCTCTTCTTTTCTTGGGTGGATCATAATCTTTGTGTTACCCTGGTGATAATGATGATGATGATTTTGATGATCTTTTGTCCACAAAAATAATCAAGTAAATCATAGCTTCAAATCTACTCGTAGGTCAGCTTTCTCTGAGACCCTTGGTTGTTTTTCCTGATTGTTATTTATAAAAACAGAATAGTTAGTTCAAGTCAGTTCTACAGAGGTGAAGCAAGATAGAGTCTTATCACAATGATTGTTGTTATGTTTGTATGTAGTTAACTTATTAGCAGGCTCAAGGTGAAATTCAGAATGTTGTTGTTGTTGTACATACACAGATACCAATGTATATCATGTCATGTCATGGTGTGTTTACACATGAGGTTATTTATTCATCTCAAACTTCCCCTGCCCCACAATATTGTTGTTGCGGTTAAGACGGATGGAAAGTATGGACTGATTGTCAATGGAGAAAGAGATGTCTGTGAATGGCCAGGGATAGTAATACTTTGGTAGAATGAACCTATGTATGTAGTTCTTTTTTGACATGCTTTCAAGGGACTTTAGATAAGAAGATCAAAGATACACTGGGCTGAAGGACTATGTCAATTTCATGTTGAGAGAACCAGGGTTGATCAATGGGTCATATGCATCACCTTGTTGCAAGCCAGCTTGGAGCCACACATACCAACACCATGGCCAAAAAAAAGTGCCCGCAAGTGTGCTGGGACAAAAGCCCTAAATCCGGCTTGGCTGGCTGTGTCCAGCTTGCTTGGAACTCTATTGACCCTCTTGTACTGGTACATTTTACAGTTAAGGGAGAGGGGGGAGGGTAGAGCCAAAGCCCTGCTTGGCCTAACTTAATGTTCAAATTTCATTCATCCCAAATCTATTATTTCTATCATACATGTTACACATCTGTTGGACTGTTGAAAATTTGAAGTGTCTACAACTGGAGTCCCCTCGGCATGATACTATAGTCGGATTTGATTGAGGTTATGTATACCTGGTTTGATGGTATGCAGTCTGAGAACCCTAACTGGTCATTAGAGCTTGTCGACTTTCCTCTTGTCTCTTATCTTCTTGTGTGTGTGTGTGTGTGTACTTCATTTATTGGATTACTCTTCTTCCTTTGAGCCGTTCCAGCAATTCAACTTGGTCCCTAAAACTATCCTCTTGAAATTTCTCTATGTTCAGTAGTTGAAAATCCAGCACTTAACACCAGTGCCTCTGGTGGGAGACTTGCTAATGCTATGTAACAACACTGCCACCGGGTATGAAGCTACCCCTTCCATGGCACATGGAGGAACTCAAATACTGTATCATTTCTGGGAGCAGCAAGTCCACTTGGGACGGGATTCAACCCTCTTAATTCTGGAAAGCTCCTCCCTCAGCTACTCCTCATTGCCTGCACTTGGGTCTCAAATATTTTTTTCAAACATTCAAAAAAAAAAAAAAAACACAATCTTTCTTGGAAAGGATCTACATGGATCCACTATGATTGTGCATGCTGTCTGTAGATATATTTGTAAGGATAACATCTGTAATGTTCTTGAAAAAGATCAAACTCTGACATTCAAGTGCTTGTTTGTGTACTGTTCCTTTCTATATCCTTGAAGTTGATCCAGAACCTTTCAAAGCACACCACCACCTCTGGCCAGACCAAGGTTATGAATTGAAGTAGGTTAGGTTCTTGGTTACAAACATTTCTCCCTTCATGATGTTGCTAAGTTTTCTTTGGTAAGAGGCCTGCTTTCTGGTGAGGGATGAAATGCACTTTGTCTGTGTCACAAATACAAGCAACAAACACTGCAAGGAAAAGTCTGGCAACTATGTACAGTTGACATGTGATATTACAAAAGCAACAAACACTGCAAGGAAAAGTCTGGCAACTATGTACAGTTGACATGTGATATTACAAAGACATCAGCTAGTGAAAGCTGACGACAAAATCTACTCCAAAATGTTATGCAAGTACCATGTCCCCCTCTCTTACATTACACAGAGAGCAGAGGCATACATCCAATAAGACTGAACAAAGTTGCAAAGTTAAAAAAAATCCATGCCAAGCAATTCACATCCAGAGATGGATGTGGTAAAGACATCATGATGCCAATTTTTTTATGGATCCAGAAATACACATTTCCTGTCAACCCTTTTGGAATGTGAGACTTTTTTGTGGGGATTGGAAGGTAGCAAAGGGTGCCAAAATCTACCCAAGGATCAAGACTGGAATGGTTCCTAGGTATTCAGAACATGCCCTTCTTTTAGCCAAGGCACACCCTTGGATCTAGAAGTGCCTTGCTAAGCAAATTACTTCAGACAGGCAACTTCTGATGCTGTTCCCATCACTTGACCACTGTGAATTGGCAGGATTGATCTGGCCATGCTCGGCTATTTCCTCAAGAAGCCTATGTCAATCTCTGCACAATGCCAATGTTTCCTGGAGTTTCATTTGGAGCTTGTGGTAGCCCCTGATAAATCATTCTGTATGATCCGAATATGCTCGTCGTACACCGGATACACGACGGATCTGAGAGGCCTGGGCTTTTTTGCTACAAAAACAAAAAATGTCGAACAAAATGTTCTGGGTGCACCAGGGTTGTGACCCGACCCGGCATTCATCTGGGATCGGATACCGGCGGACTGGCAGCTTGAAGGCAATCATTTATTCATGTGGAAACACACCCCGGTTTGGATCACGGGGTAGCAAAGAAGGCAGAAAAATCCTGATGATCCGTAGCCCCCCCCCCCCCCATCCAGCAGCGCACAAAAACAAACAAGAGCTTTGTATCTTGGTGGAGGGCTTTTCACAGCAAGCTGAATCACTTATGGTGTCCGAGGAAATCGTGTTGTGGGTTAGACGCTCGAGGTCAAACGTCATGACGTTGGCACATGGGCAGATTATGGGCCACTTTGAGACCTGATGGCGCATCAAACAACAATAGCCAGCGAGTTCCACGTCCGAGCTCGGGATTGCGAGCTCGGGTCGTGACTGTGTGGCCGGGCAGGACTCTGGACATCGCGCATGGGCTATATATACTCTTTCATGTGTGGGGGTGGGCCGTTGAGCTGCCTTGCGATAGAAAGTACCACGCTTTTAACCGAGCTGGCACTGGTCGACCCTCACCAAAACTGAGATCAGTATCCTCGCGGCGGCTCCAAAATCAGGGCTTTCGAGCTCGTCACCAACCGGCAGCCGCGCAGGGACGAGCGATCTGGTATGTCATGGCCATCACTCGCCGTAAAGCCTGCCCGACCGAGCGCGCCCAGTGGCACTGGCAGAGATGTGTGCCGACTCAGCCGGTGTCTGGTGATGTGCATATTGCCTGACGGAAAGGATCAGGAACGCAGCTAAGCTAAGAGGTGGCTCACTGGGGTTGAGCACTCTCTCTGGGCGAGTCAGCGGATGCTCGAAAGCAAGCCCTGCTGGACCATTTGCCATCGATTGCAGTGACTCTGCTCTGTATCATCGATCGAAGCTAAGCCAGAGTCGCAGGGCAGAGAGCAAGCGGAATAGGAATCATCAAAGCCAGATTCTTTTTGTCCTGCCGGCGAAGGCTCGAGGCCGTGAATGGTTGAGCTGAGAACTCATTGTCCTGCTTGAGGTGGCAGCAGACGTATTGTGCTCATTCAAGTGCTGCTATAAATATCACCCTTTCGGCCCGCATTAAGAAGCCTTTCTTCTCATCCGCACTCATTCGTCCGTCACACAAAAACAGATTCAAAAAAAATAAAAATCACCATCCTTAAGATTATTTTTATCCTTTCTTAACAACTTCCACAACCACACACTTGCTCACCCGCCCCAATCTAACTCTATCACTATGAGATCCTCCACCATTGTTGGCGCCGTTATGATGGCCGCTCCTAGCATGCAAGCCACCGGCCCCACCGGTAACATCACCGGTTCGTCATCGCTTTCTCTTGAAGAATTATTTATTCTGAAGTTGGCCGCTTGACCTAACGTTTACCTCCTCCCTGCAGATGCCGATATCCTCAACTTCGCGTTGACCCTTGAGCACCTCGAGGCCGCGTTCTACTCCCAAGGTCTTGCCAAATACGACCAGAAGGCGTTCAGCAACGCTGGTTTCAGGTTGGTGTCATTTTCATGTCTACAGCCAAGACGTTCTCGTCGAGACTTACACATCTCCTCTACTACTTGTGCTTTCAGTGACGAAATCCGACGAAAGATCCAGGTCATCTCCGATGATGAGACTTCTCACGTCAACTTTTTGACCTCTGCCTTGACTGCTGCTGGTGCCACCCCGGTGCAAGCTTGCAACTACACCTTCCCCCACACTGACCCCAAGTCCTTCATGGCTGTCTCCCAGATTCTTGAGGGTGTTGGTGAGTGCTGACTTCAAGCCCTACGTCAGACGCGCAGGGACTGACTTGCCGTTTTGTGTTTGATAGGTGTCTCTGCCTACCTCGGTGCCGCTGGTTCCATCCAAAACCCAGCTTACCTTGTAAGTCCATCTGCTATCAACCAAATTCGGTTGAGCAATCGCAATTGATCAGATGCTTTATCACCCATACAGACCGCTGCGGCCACCATCTTGACTGTGGAGGCCCGTCACAACGCCTATGTTAGACTCGCCAACGGAGAATCCCCATTCCCCACCGCGTTTGACACCCCAGTCGACCCTCGAGCCATCGTCACTTTGGCCAGCCCGTTCTTCGCCGCTTGCCCCAACGGCTCTGCCCCCGCTTTCCAAGGCTTCCCAGCCTTGAACGTCACCGGAAAGCTTACCCAAGGGTCCTCGTTGACTGTTGCTTCGGCTAACGTCACCGGTGCTACTAACTGCGCCTTCTTGAGCGGTTTGAACACCACCTTCTCCTCGTTCGCCGATGGAAAGTGTCAAGTGCCAAGTGACGGCAAAGTTGGTGGTGGTCAGGTGAGTCAACCACAGATCTTTCGCCGAGTGCGTCTAGGTCCTAACACCGAGTTTTTTGTCCTATGCCGCAGGTTTACATCCTCTTGACCAGTGGCCAAAACGTCACCGATTACTCAACCATTGCTGGCCCTGCCATTGTTGAGATGGACACCCCTGGAACCACCAACAACACCCACGTAAGTCGCTCCGACAAAACTCAGCATGACAAAACTTTCAAGCACTGACCTCACACTCTTCTATCCGCCCAAATTGGCAACACAGACCTTAGCCAGTGCCGGTGCCTCTAAGGACAGCAGTGCTACCACCGTCATGGCCGGTAGCGTCGCCATCTTCGGTTCAGCCATTGCCGGGTTATTCTCTATCTTAGTTTGAGCCATTACTCTGATTGTCGGCGGTCCATCCTTTATCTTTCTTCCCTCTTCTTGACGTCGCTTCTTTAACGATTTCCTTCACGATCTTTGTCAAAGTCGCTTGTTGTACCTTCCTAGTAACCTCATCTGTGAAAGCCATACTTTCTTCGGAACAGTGTCCACACTTGTGTTGCGTGTGGCCCATTGATAAATGCCCTTAATCAGTCAGGCGCACGCTTGGAGGAGGTTGATACTCATCGGCAAGCCGCCTATAGCCACCTGATTGTCAATCTGCTTTGATCTTCCCACTCTCCTACGACCAACATGACCTATGATCACCGCAGCGGCTTGGAACAGTCGATTCAAGAGGCTCATGATAACTCCCATTTGAGTTTAGTTATGACACTAGCATATAAGAGTATCTCGGTTGTGTCATTTAGAAAGTAAATACCTAAGAATATCGTTGAATCAATCAAGATGGCCAACGCTAGGGCAAGAAAACACAAGGTCAGGATTTGTTGAATAAGGGTGATGAGAGAATCATTAAATTAGTATCAGATTGAAGTCATGTTTCTAGCGTGTTGTGATTTGATAAGTTAATTTTTTTTTGGGACCGGGTGGACACAAATAAAGACTCAAGTAGAGCCTGTGTAGAAAAGAAGCAAATGTAGGAATTGTAAAAGCGGAAAAGAAAGGAAGATCGTTGGGTGAATTGAGTTATTCTAATCTTCCAAGTCCGACTGGAAAAGAGAGACAAAGAATCAGCACATAGCCATAATAACATCCGTATTTATGAACCAGGGAGAAATAACCTACAGCTCCGGGCCCCTTGATTGCCTGGTACCCCGCGGGGGGGATTGGTTTACCGTCTACTCCCAGAATCCCGGGCATCGGCATCTCATCCTGACCATTATAGCCGTCCGGGAGGGCGAAGTCGCCATCTTGTTCGCCACCAGCGTCTTCAGAATCGCCAAACTCAGCAGGAGCAGCAGAGGTTCCAGAGCCTTCAACTTGGGGGCTTGCCTCAGATTCGCTGTTCGTGCTAGCCAGTTGGTTAGAGGCTGTAGGGATCTCGATGCCGGCGCGTTTTCCGGCTCCGACGGGTCCTGGCAAAGCATTGGACGTGGCCGCTTGAACATTGGTTAAGTCACTGAGGATGTTAGACGGTACTGGTTCTTCTTCGGCTCGGTTGGTTGTAGCTTTAAGTGACTCGGTCTGCCCGTCAAGTAGAGGCCGGGCAAAAGAACTCTGTAGGAGAGTAAGAAAGATGGCAATGACTAAGAAAGAACGCATTTTCTGAAAGATTGACTTTTTAAAAAAGAAAGACTGATAATAGGAAGGAAGTTGTTTATTTTGTGGGGGAAAGCTAATGATTGATTGTTGGTTGTGGATGGGATGGACATCAACCCCCGACATCATCGGTCTCTTTTAAAGATTTGATTCGGATCATGATTCATACGTTCATCAACATCTTCTTCCATGGTACATAGAGGACTGTAACTTGAGGCGTTCAACAGCTTTTCTTCCTGTAATGAAGTCGTAATCAAAGCTAACCAAAGATAACAACATAAATTTGTACCCCACCGTCTTTCGTCATTGTGATCCAAGATGCTCATAGAATGTACTCGTCACGACTGATTTTCTACAGAGATATCCGCGTGTAGAATGGTCTCCTCTGTACATACGTACCAATTTTAACTCGATTACGAAAACCACCGTCGGCTGCCCCCTCATATCACATACAGGATAGCACGCAAAAACTTGAGTTATGCCGATGGTGCCAGTGGAGTTTTTTAGGATCAAACGACATTTTATTTATGTTTTTTTTCCTCGTCTTCTTTCCATCCAGACAGTTTCCTCCCTGCAGATTTTTGATCCGTTTTTCAGCATACAAATGTCGAATCCGCGTCGGGTCGGTCAAAAGGGGTTCTCTTTCTTTTTCCAATGGCATGTACGAAGGAATATCGAGCCTTTCCTGATCAGGGCGCTGGAAATTGTAAGAAGGGCCCCAGAAAGCCCCAGCCTGTTGTAGGAAAGAACGTCTTGATGCTAGAGATTTATGAATTCAAAGCATAATATCATATCTTCATTAGACTCCAGCCACTGTAGACTTTTCAACTGATCAGAAGTCAGTTCAGCCTCAGGTCATTTCATGTCCTCTTCTAATTCTTCTTTTCATTCATACACAATTTCCTTGCGAGGGGAGCTCAAGAGGATTATATTCTTCCAACTGCTCTGCGCCTGTGTATTTCTGTTGGCCACCGGTGTCCCCCTTGACCTGCATATTTATGTATAGGCCGATTTTATTCAAGAAATGTTGAACCTTTTTCAGTGGCTCCAGAGTTTTTCTTTGGAATCAAAAATCGGTTATATTTCATGTTTCTGTATAACATCCTTGCGATCCTCCTGGAGAAAGAAAGACAAGTTAACAACCTGGTTTTCGCAGTTTTTTTTTGCAGAAATGACTGCGCGTGAACAACATGCTATATAAAAATTCAAGAACTCAAAGTCGTTGATGTAGTTATTTATGTTTCTTCAGTAGTACATAGTGAGATGGACCAAGGGCTTGGTGCTACTCCAACAAGTGCCATCGACATCTGGTTTCGGAGTTTCCTCGGAGCCAAGGTGAAGGTCATAACCTATTTAATCTTTTTTTTTGAGTATCTCGATAGGGGTGGAAGGAAGTCTGACTAAAAATTGATTCGAATTGGCGAGGAAGCCGCCATCTTCATCCTCTGAGAAACTTCATGTCTCAGTTAATCGATGGATCAGTGCTTATCTTTGGGATTGCCGCACTCCTCTACAGCACAGTCTACAGATAAATAAGTCAATCAATCTGTTCTGGTATTGGGACCGGTGCTATCAATATCTATTTTGGGGAATTTCCAAGCTTGATAGCCATGCTCCTTCAACTTGAATCCATCTCCATCACCGTGTCTGTCAAAATGGTGCACTGATGATCACTTGTCTGGAGGAGATGCGCAGTCTTGGGTTTCATTGTGCTCCTATGACGTCACTCAGGTTTCATCCGCAGCTCCTCTTCACAGCACATTCAACAAATTGCCAATTCGATTGCTGCTGACCGCTTCCAACCGAGAAACACTCACACCCTCACTGCAGAACATCCCACTCTTCCCTCTAACCTACCTACAATTCCGAAACAAAAATTAGAAACAAAGACATATTCAAGAAAAATAAGCGCAGATCAAAATCATCAACATGTCCAACAACCTGTGAGTGGCCCAACTCGTCGTATCTCTGATGATTCAGTCATCGGCTATCGTGACATATGTTGACACATTTAATCGGGGTTTCTTACTTCTATTTATGGTCTGGCTTGTACAACAGATCGATTGAAGGCGTTAAAAGCTCGGCGATCATCGAAGCCGTCGCCCTTGGCATCTCCAAGGTATCAACAACTGACGATCTATTTGCTCTACCTAAAGACGAAGTCCCAAGGTGTAGAAAAAAAGGAATCAGAAAGATGAGCAAATTAACTGATTATGTATACCCGTTTTCTTGATTCTTTAGATGGACGAAGCAGAGAAGAAAAAGCAAATGAAAGCGATCAATGGGATCTTCCAAATGAATGTGAAGAGTGCAGGAGGAAAGGAAGGCACATGGACGATCGACTTCAAGAAGGTAAAAGGATTGCCCGTCCTGCCTCCATCTGATCCTGCTCCAACCATGTAGATTCGAGCTTGCAAAGATAGAGAAGCTGAGATTTGTTGGCGGATGGATGATTCTTTTCGTAGGAAGGAAAAGTCTACCAAGGTCCAGCTAAACCGAAGGCGGATGTAACGATCAACTTGTCAGACGACACTTTCCAGGCATTGGCAGATGGGAAGTTGAACGGCCAAAAGGCCTTCATGGGGTCAGTTTGCATACCTTTTCTTTCCTTCTTTTAAGATTTAGGTGACCTTTAAGGTATTGACTATCGCACACATGCAGGGGCCAGTTGAAAGTCAAAGGAAATATCATGCTGGCTACTAAGTTAGACGTCTTATTGAAGTCGGCCAAATCGAAACTATAACACGGTAACTGGGTTTTCTCAAGACAAGCAATCCGTCATCTGTTTTCTATCTACAATTTGCAACCTTTTTTTAAAAACAAATTCAATGGAGTTGGATCCCTTCATGGCAGCTCTTTTTAATGTCTTAATCCATTTCTTCTCAGATCCATTCGCAGTTTTTTCTTTTTTCTAATTATCCTATTGTCTACATATGCTCTTGATCGTTTTGAAAAATTCAATACATGTATTATTTATCCATTGAAACTGGGTGAGATGCTTCATGAGACTCAAAACCTTTGGGCGGGCTTTGGTACACGGTTCTTTTTTGGGTGGGGTCTTTCTTGCTCGCAGTTCTAAGGGCCTGTACCACAGGACATGAAAATTCAATTTCTCGAAATTTATCTTGCTCAAAATTTTATATTGTCAAAATTGACAATAACTAGAAGCTAGTCTTTGGCATGAAAGTGAAGAATTTCAACACCAGATCTCTCCAATTGTTCCCAGTTTTTGTGTAGAGGATGGAAAAAATGCCCATTTTTGAAAATTGAACCCTACGGTACAGGCCCTAAATGTGACAAACAATCTATTAACAAGAGCGACTCTCCAGAGGTTTAAGACTTTAATTCTTCTCTTAAGGCAATACATAATCTCTCGGTTCTTGTGCTGAGGCACACTGATGTCTTTCATGAAGACTAAGGTACAAGCTAATGCTGATCGATTGCGACACAGTTTTATGCGGATAAACATGACAAATATGATTGAAGAAAAGTACAAATGAAAATAGATTTGGATAAAAGGCTCGATGAGAAGAGTATATTTTTTTGTACAGGACTGATCATCTGTGAGCAAGACTGAATCGTCCTACATGATAATCCATCGGAACCATGACAACGAAAAAAAAAACGGGAAAAAAACTTGCGCAAGTGCATACTACCCATTTGGGCCTTTCCAGCTTTGCCGGGTGGGTGCACCTTGGAGGTGGAGTCGGTAAAAGGAACCTCGATGGGCTGGATTCCACCTTAGGAACTACTCGCTGGGCTGGATTCAATTTCCACCTTGGCAGGCGGCTTGTACCTGCTAGCCAAGAATACTTTCTCCCAAGGGAGCATCCCCAAGCGCCTGCTTTGTGTTTGGGGGGAAGCTTCCTTGGTTTGTGGGGAAGATTCCTCCTTGGTGAGCACCTTGTACAGGTTCACCGAGGGAGCTCTTTCTCAAGCAATTGGGACAAAGCGCACACACTATCTGGCCAGGATCCCCCCTCAGAGAGCAAGTACAAATTGATGGCTCAGGAGAAATCCCCGCTGGATTAAAGCAGGTCAAAGGTGTCTTTGCCAGCCAACATACCTCCTGGTCAATCACCACATGCTTGCCAAGGAAGATTCCTACTCGGTGAGCAATTACAAGGTGCACCCATTCATCCAGCACTGGCAGGCCCTCTGCTCGGTGAGCAGGAATCCTAAAGTAATGGCTGGGGAGAGCTCCTCCCCAGTGAGTATTTGGCAATGGGTGAACCCCGAGGGGTAGTTCTCCTCGGCAAGCAGGTACAACCGTACAACCAGTACAAGACAATCTCAAAATTTCCAAAAGTGTGCATTTCATTTCAGATTATGGGTGCTTGGGTCAATCTTTACTCAAGACAACAATCATGCGGGACGTTTCAATTGCCGTCATCTGTGATAACAGGGGAACTGCCAAGCGAATTGAGCCAGTCTCTTCAATCCATGTCTTCCTTGTCTACATAGATCATAGGGGCCGGCCGCTTGTCACCCAACGTTTTTGAAAACCGGACGGAACAGTGATTGTGGGCATGGGTGATGCGAGAGGTGGGATCTGGCTGTTCTGTCTAGCTTACTCTTTCTTATTAGCAACCCAATCAAATGCGAATAACTGTAGCTCTAACCGGGGTCTAGAATCAATCCGTTTTTATAACTGCCAAATGACTCGACAAAACTAAAGGGAACTCACCTGCATTGGTGTGTAGGGTTGCATGATAACGTCTCTTATCCAGCCGTGGCAGCCAGAGCGATTGTAGGCAGACTTGTTGTGATAAAAAAAGACGCAGGGCAGAGAAAGGAGAGAAGGAGAAAAAAATACAAGAATCTTTTTACTTGCGGCCAATGAACCATGAGAGAAAAAAGAGCGAAATAAAGCTGCTTGGATATTGGCCAAAATGAAGGAGTCAGCTTGATGATAGCGCGGATAACGTCCGCTGAGGCCGAGGGAGCACTGCACTAATAAAAAAAATACGAGGGGTCAGATTAGAGTTCTTGGCCGGCCACGGGCAGATGTGGCTGCCGGTCAGAGTAGAACAAGGGACATGTCCACGATCACGTGTCACATCTTCAAGGAGCTTCAAGGCCAATCGAGTTCCGCAGCAACATTCAAGAAAGAGTTCGCCGGACCGAATTCTTGAAGCAGTCGATTTTAACTTACAAGATATGTACAAGTTCACCTGAAGGAAATATCTTCGTTACAATAGATGAACAACACCATAAACCACTTAGATCAGCTTTCGTTTATCAAGAGACAAGCTTCAGTCACTCTTACACTGATCGGGACCTCGCAGGATATGTCCTATAGTCCAACTGCTTCAGAAAAGCCCTGAAGACGATCTCTGGCCACGGGATATGCCCCGGCTTGCCTTGAGATGACAAAAAAAAAATGACAGGATATCTGTCGGTGCTGATACAGACAGGATGCCGGGGGTAAAAAAGGGATCAAAGGGTCAGCAAAGGATCTATGAATCGGCTGATCAGGAAGAGAGCTTATTAAATCACTTACCTCTAGAGAAACGAGCGGGAAAAGTTCCAAAGACGATCTTTGGCCACGGGATATGCCCCGGCCTGCCTGAAGATGTCTATCTCTGGCCACGGGATATGCCCCGGCTTGCCATGAGATGATGAAAAAAAACGACAACAAATCTGTCGGCGCTACGTAGAGGTAGTAGTTGAGGTGAAGAAAGTGATCAAAGGGTCAGCAAAGGATCTATGAATCGGCTGATCAGGAAGAGAGCTTATTGAATCACTTACCTCTAAAGAAACGAGCAGAAAAAGTCCTAAAGACCATCTTCAGCCACGGGAAATGCCCCGGCCTGCCTGAAGATGTCTATCTCTATGAGATTACGAAAAAAATGACAGCAAATCTGTTGGTGCTGCGTAGAGGAAGTAGTCAAGGTGAAGAGAGGGATCGAAGGGTCAGCAAAAGATCTATGAATCGTCTGATCAGGAAGGGAGCTGTTTGGATCACTTACCTCTAGAGAAACGAGCAGGAAAAGTTCCAAAGATGATCTTCGGCCACGGGATATGCCCTGGCCTGCCTAAAGATGTCTAATAGCTATCTCTGGCCACGGGATATGCCCCGGCTTTCCTAGAGATTACAAAAAAAAATTGACAGCGAATCTGTGGGTTGGTGCTGTTCAAAAATAGTTAGACCACACAGGTTACCAGGTAAAAAAAGGAAAGGCAATTCGCCAGAGGGGGATCCATGATTCGTCTGATCAAACTTCTTTTTGAAATACGTACCTCTAAAAAACGAGCAGGTAATGTCCTTGAGACAATCCCTGGCCACAGGATATGCCCCGGCTTGCCTTGAGATTCTCAGTGAAAATAAAAGCGAAGATGTCAACAACATGATGAGAGTTATACAGCAAAGATTTTGAAAGATTGTAGCTCACCAATGATAAATGAAAAGAGATAAACAAGGAAAACCAAAAATTCCGAGAAAATTCCGAGATGAGTAGCAAAACATGATCGAGAGAGAAAAAAGGAGAGAATAAAACTGGATGACGCCACGTGAACCAGTCGTGGTTGATGATGGATACCTGTGAAATAGATAATATGATGAGTTAGTAATAGAGGATGGATCAGCCCTGCCATCAGTTTTTATCATAAGTCTGCCAATTTGATCGAGCTCAATGTTGCTATTGGCTGCTGGCTGGATAAGAGAAGCTGAAAGAAATCTGATCAATTCATCGTTAGTTCGTGCATGCCAACCAGGAAACTCCACCTGCCCTTCTTGCTGTTGAGCCTTACTCTAGAATGTGAAGAGGAACCAAGAGATGAAGGATCAAGACATCGAGGAACAAGAAATAACAACCAATCAACCAAGGATCAAGGTATCAAACACCATAGCGATCTTGTTATGTTTGCCTGTAGTCGTGGGAGATAAGGAGGCTTTTTGAATTTAGCGGAAGGATGATTAAGGAAAACACAATTATTTCAGAGCAGGCCATTCCAATCAGGTACAGTTGGATGACAATATGAAGTCTAATGAACTCTGATGCAGCTGGAGTAAGAGTTATAGTTGTTTTGGTCTTTGAAGGAATGGAAAGAGTAGAAACATTCCCATCAATTCAAGGGCAGGGCACTGTTGAGAGTGATTGCTTGCACGTGTTATCTCATGATATGATTGATACTTGCGAATGTGCTTGCAAAGGAAGGCTGGCAGTCAAATAAGATGGGTGGGAATGATTTTGGAGGATATAGGGGCAGAGAAATAGAGTCATGATGATTGGAAAGCTGGCCATTCAAAAACTCAAGTACATCCGAGTGACAATTTGGAGTCGATGGCACTAGAATGCAGCCGGATTGCGGGTACAATTCTTGCGTTCTGCAAAGGTATTATAAAAAGAGATATTCTCTTTCCTTTGAGGAGAAGGCGATATTGAGAGAGTGATTCATCTAGGGATAGAAAACGAAAATATCTGGATTGATCACATTGCCGATCAAACGAGTTATCATGATATGAATGATACTCGCGACTTGATTGCCGGGGATGATGGCTTTCAGATAAGAGGGGGTGGAAAAATCCTGAAGGATAGAGGGTGAGAGAAATACGAGCGGAATGGTTCATTAGCTAGCCCCATTCAAAAAATCAGTCACATCCAAATGACAATATGAAGTCGATGGTGCTAGAACGCGACCAGATTGCACATCTTTTCCTTGATTTCTTCAAAGGCATTATAAAGGGAAGATCAATTCCCTTTGCTTCAAGGGGGAGGCAAGGTTGAGAGTGAGTGATTGCACGTGTTATCATTATATGATTGATACTCGGGGCTTCGCTTGCTAGGAATGATGACAGTCAGATAAGATAGGGTGGGACGATTCTGAGGGAAAGAAGCGAGAAGATATTTGTTCAAACACCATATAAAGGATTGATTCCCTATACTTGAGGAGGATAGTTGTGGTGTACAGAGCCAAAGAAAGATGATTCGGACCAGAGGGATCATTAAAGGAAAGAGATATTGTGATATGATTGACGTTTGC